TACATGTTTGCATGAGTGTGTAATTATATGCAGATCAACGGTTAATAATCACCTGGTGTATCTCACCCGGTGTAGCATCAAATAATTGACAATTTTTTTTTTTGTTTGTGTGTGTATCTTATTGAGGTATATATTGAGATGAGTGGGTTTTTCGGAATTTTAAAATGATTAATATTATCTTTTTCTATTTTAAGTTTTAACTACTATTGTCACTAACTATACATTAAATTTAATTATATTAATTAATATTTTTCTTAAATAAAATTACTCACAAACTAATGTAGACCCACTAAAAAGAAAATAAAAAATAAAAAAATAAAAAAATCAACGTCACAAACTTTTGAAATACCAGTACAATTTAATACGTATCAGCATGTACTACAATATATATTATTTATATATTTGATATATATACATACAAAAAAGGCTATCAAAATCTCTGGTCACTATAATAATAATATATATATGACGTGACTCCATGCATCGTTTCCACATACATTATTCCCACATTATTTAAATTCCCTTTGCACTCACACTATCACACACATAAATAAATAATATATATAAATATATTATCTCTAGTGTGGTTTGAAAATTATTGTGCAAAAATAAAAAAAATATATATTCAATTATAATATACTATTGGTTGTGATATTTTACCAAAATAATGCACATAAAATATAGCTTGCTTACTTATATAGTCTTTCTTAGAGTGTCCTTAAATAATAAAATTTAGCATAATTCCACTTTGCACCCTCGAAATGCATCAGTTTTGACAGTTTGCACCCCCCGTAAACAATTTATGGCACTTTACACACTGGAAACATATTCAATCATTCAAAATGTACCCAACTTTATTTACTGGTCATATTTTCCGGCATTGATTAAATTTTTGATCGTCTCTTCTTTTACTGCAGGGCGCAAAGTGATAATGTATTTTCAAGGTTGCGAAGTATCAAATCTAATTTTTGCGGTTGCTAAATGATTTTTTAAATAAACAAAGTCTACTATCGTTGAAGCTATTAGAAATTAGACAATATATTTAAACCGTCAAATACTTAATTTTAAATTTGTATTGTCCAATCAAAAAATTATTCAACACCAGAAAATATAACCGAAAAATAAAATAGGATGCATTTTGAACGATTAAATATGTTTTGAAGGTGCAAAGTATCATAAATTGTTTTTAGGGGTGCAAACGGCCAAAATAGTGCATCTCGAGGGTGCATAGTGAAAATTAAGCCATTTCACATTTTACATATAGTGCAAGAATAGTGAGTTAACGAGCTCAAATTTACCTAAGTAGTTAAACAAACACTCATTTGTATGTATATAAATGAATTGAATATTGCATGTCTAGTGATTCTCAAAGTATATAAAAAAATAGATAGAATAATAATGTTTTGTCTCTTATATTGGAATTATTAATAATAATATAATATTGTTTGGGTGGCCAATCATACATTGTGGCTATTAAAAAGTGATTCCTTTGCTTCCTTCTTAAGCCATTTTCATCCAATCATCAACAAAATTATGCTTGACCTAATTGTAATATTGCTAAATATTCTTTTCATGTTTAACCCTATCCTTTTTTGTCCTTATTAAGCTCCCACTTTTAGGATTGATTAACTATCCTTTATATAATATAGGTAATGTTTTTCACTAGTAAAATCATATGAAAAACATTATCAAAATTCAGAATGAAAAATATTATTCCAAAGTTAATTTATTTTTTAATCGAAACCAGCGAAATTCATAAATTCCGTTGATATTTCTGAAACATAGGTAACATCTCATGTAATCGTACTCAAATTTATCCAATTAGAAATTCGTCTCTCAAAATATCACATATGCATTCAAATTTATCTGCAAATATAACTTTATATTTATACCAAAAAAAAAAAAAAAGAGGAATAGAATCCCATTCAAATTTATCTAAAAAAAAATTCAAGGAGAAATATCATCCACTCCCAATTTAATTTTAGGATATTTGTATATTTGAATTATTGAAAATAAAATAAATATATAGTAGTAGTAGTAGTGGTGAAAAAGGAGTGAGAGTGAGAGAGAACAAATGAAAATAAAAAGGCACTTTTATTAATAAAATAATATATCATGGTGGCGTAGGCAAAACTAAAGAGTGGGTCCCACAGCATATTTCATCTCCTACAAATAGCAGACCACTCCACACCCTTTCCAAATTGCAATCAACACAAACACAACAAACACCATCTTCATCATCATCAATTCATCATCTCTTACAATATTTTGTCTGATCCTCTCTGCATACTGCTGCTCTGCTAAATTTTTGGTATGAATTGTCCCCGTCTTTGGGTTTTTGGTTTGAATTGATTTTTTAATTTTAATTTTAATTTTTTTGGCTATGGTTTCTGATAATAGAATGATTTTGTTCTGCAGAGAAAAAGGAGGTGCACGGAAAGTTACTGACGAAATGCCTGTGAGAAAGAACATGAAGAACAACTTGATCCCATCTTCACCAATGAAGGTGGTTCATCTTCACAAAGAAGAAGAAGCACAAATGAAACAAGGGATTGTCACCATTCTTGGCTCCGATTCCTGCCATGGAAACAAACCAGGCGGAGCTTCCATTAGAAGAACACTCTCTGCTGACATGTCATCCAAGAAATGGCTCCAGCAAAACGGCTTCTTCTCCCCTGTTAAAAAGATCCCCTCTTCTTCTTCTTCTTCGTCTCCTCCTTCTCCTCCTTCGTCTTCGTCTTCATCGTCTTCTTCGTCATCGGAAAGCGAAGAAGAATACGAAGAAATAACAGCACCTGGACAAGACGATGTTTGGAGGGCAATTCAGGCAAAGAAAGAAAGAGATGATGAAGAGATGAAGAAGAAGAAGCCATTACAGATGGATGTTTGGGGTACCATGCTCACTCACAAGAGTGAGAATTCTGCTGCTCTTCTTGCCGCTGCCCCGCTGCCGCCGCCTTATGTTCATCCACTCGTGAAGATATTGGCCAGTACTTTGAGTGAAAAAAGCCTTGAGATTTGCACCGAGAGTCTTGGATCAGAAACTGGTTCTGATTGTTTTTCTGCCGAAACTGAAGATCAAGAGAAGGTGGTTGTGATGCCGGTGGTGGTCGGAGATTCGAACGATCAGTTTGCGGATACGCATGTGGCCAAGTACAAGAAGTCGCCGACACGGCCTTTTCCGCCGCCTCTTCCTTCAATCGCCGGCGGCGATGGGGCGGCGCTCCACGTGCAGTCTCACCGGGAAAATGGGAGGCTGGTTCTTGAAGCTGTTTCTGTTCCTCAGAGAAACCATTTCCATGCTCAACGTTGCGACGGCCGCCTTGTTCTGACTCTGGCGCACGCGCCGCCCGCTTGTGAAGTGACGTTGGTAGAAGAAGTGTTTGATAATATGGAAGATGTCGATGAAGATGTCGTTACTTTTGCGGAGGAGGAGAAGGAGAAGGTGGATGACGGAGGCGGAAACGAGGGTTACGTGGCAGCGGAGGAGAATTTCTTCCAGGCACAAAGTCCAAGAAAAGAAAAGGAATATATGGTGGAGCAAAACTTATCGCTTCCTAGTGGAATGATGAGTTTGAATAAATCTCGAATGGTGATCAAAAAGCTGATGGCGGTAGGGAATATGAATCCGAAATGGTCCCAAAATCTCAACAAATCCGATCAAGTGGCGGTGGCGGAGGAAGTTTTCGCAATCCCGCAGTCGCTCCCACCGCCTCCGCGGGTGGCTCGCATGATCCCGTCGCCCGCGGTGGCGGCGGCGCCAGCCGCCGCGTCGTTCAACGCTTACGAGTACTTCTGGAGGAACAAGACCGCCGTGTATGGTGGCGGAGGCGGCGGCGCACAACTGAAAAACAAGGACGGTGACGGCGGAGCGGAGGCGGCGTATGAGAATAAAGATTTGGTGGTTGTAAAAGGAAAGAAAACAGAGTACTCAGTTCCATACCTGAGGGGATGCAAAGAGGCGAGGCGATCGCTGTCAATATGGGAGCCGTACTGCATTGCCACCTCCTAAATGACAATTTTAATAAATAAATAAATAAATAATAATAATTATATAATAAATAATTATATTTTTACATCCTATTTAGATGGGAAAAAAATGTTTGATTAAATCCCCAAAAAAAAAAATATATATATATAATCGCCCAGCCCTGCCTTCTATGTTAAACTAAACCTCCCAATAAGTCACATGTAAAAGAAGTCCAAAAAGAGTTGTGTAGCCAATAATAAATATGAATGGGAGTGAGAAATATTAATTTTTTACATGATTTTTCATAACAAATAAGTCGTTATCAGCTTCTGTTTAGTTGGTAATTTTATCTGTTTTATTAGTCTATGCAAATCATAATAATTAATGGATTTTTTTTATTTTATTTATTTATTGGGTAAATTAAATTGTCATTTCTAATGTTCATGTTGTGGGAAACCATAATCCAATATTCTTGATTTGCTAATGTCCTTTTGTGTTAAGGTTTAAGGACATGATTGACACGTTTATTATACATCAACTTTTAACAACTTTAATGGGCCCATCTCAGCCTTTAATGGACCTATTCCAGCATTTTCTTGGCCCAACTCAGCCATTTATGGGCCCATTGAAGTTTTTCCATAGGCCCATCTCAACGTTTTATGGGCCTATTCCAGCATTTTCTTGGCCCACCACAGCCTTTTATGGGCCCATTGCAGGTTTTTCATGGTCCATCTCAACGTTTCACGGGCCATCTCGATCAAAATCATAAAAAACTTTATACTATGGTACAAAGATTTAAGATAAAATTGGTGGAACGTCCAAAAAACTATTTCACGATCAAAATCACAAAAAACTGTATACTATAGTACACAATTTTTGGGTAAAATTGGTGGAACGTACAAAAAACTCTTTCACGATCCAAATCACCAAAAACTGTATACTATATGATACAAATTTTAGTTAAAATTGGTGCAACGTTCAAAAAACTATTTTACGATCAAAATAACCAAAAACTATATACTATAGTACACACATTTTAGTTAAAATTGGTGGAACGTCCAAAAAACTATTTCACGATTAAAATCAACAAAAACGGTGTACTATAAGTACACAAATTTTAGTTAAAATAGGTGGAAAATTCAAAAAACTATTTCACGATCAAAATCAACAAAAGTGGTGTACTATAAAGTATACATTATTTAGGTAAAATTAGCGGAACGTGCAAAAAACTATTTCACGATCAAAATCACCAAAAACTGTATGCTATAGTACACAATTTTTTGATAAAATGGTGGATGGTCCCAAAAAAAAATTTCACGATCAAAATCACAAAAAACTGCATATTATAGAACACAGATTTTGGGTAAAATTGATGGAACGTCCAAAAAACTTTTTCATGATCCAAATCACCAAAAACCGTACACATATTTTAGTTACAATTTGTGCATCGTCCAAAAAACCATTTCACGATCAAAATCACCAAAAACAATATACTATAGTATACAAATTTTAGTTAAAATTGGTGGAATGCCAAAAAACTATTTCACGACCAAAATCAACAAAAACGGTGTACTTTAAGTACATAGATTTTGGGTAAAATTAGCGGAACGTGCAAAAAACTATTTCACGATCAAAATCACAAAAAACTGTATGCTATAGTACACAAATTTTTGATAAAATTGATGGATCGTCCCAAAAAAAAAAATCACGATCAAAATCAACAAAAACTGTATATTATAGTATACAGATTTTGGAGAAAATTGGCGGATTGTCCCAAAAAAAAAATCACGATCAAAATCACAAAAACTGTATACTATATAGTACACCTATTTTGGGTAAAATTGGTAGAACGTCCAAAACACTATTTCACGATCAAAATCACCAAAAAATGTATACTATAGTACACAAATTTTGGGTAAAATTGGTAGAACGTCCAAAAAAAAAATTCATGATCAAAGTCACAAAAAACTTTATAATATACTACACATATTTTAGTTAAAATTGGTGCAACGTCCGATAAACTATCTCACGATCAAAATAACCAAAATTTGTATAATATAGTACTTAGGTTTTGGGTAAAATTGTTGGAACGTCCAAAAAAAATTTCGCGATCAAAATCACCTAAAACAGTACGCTATATAGTAAATAGATTTTGGGTAATTTTGGTGGAACGTTCAAAAAACTATTTCACGATCAAAATAACCAAAAACTGTATACTATAGTACTATAGTACACTTGGTGGAACGTCCAAAAACTTTTTCATAATTACACACACTACACCGAAAACAAACACTAAAAAAATATATACACAGTACACCGAAAACACACAATAAAAAAAATACACACAAGACACCGAAAACACACACTTAAAAAATGTACACACAGTACACCAAAAACACATACTAAAAAAAACTCACACACTATCTTGACAACACACAAAAAAAAATATACACACATGATGTATCTTATTGGACCGGCCCAATAAGAGAATTAGTATGTTGGCCATTTAAGGCCCGATCCATCTACAAGGTGATTAACTAATGGCCCAAATCCCACAAGATCTTACAAGCCCATTAGGGTTCACTAATCCTATTTAGAGTTCTACTCCAATAATTATTCTACTAATTACATTATAAATAAACTCTCTACCTCACTTTACAAGGTACGATCTATTTCTCTAGTTCTGATACCCAAAACTCTATTGTTCTACCTACCCATCTGCTTCCCTAAGCATCTGTCTGACTTGAGCATCGGAGGGGTTTCCGCCGGAACAAACTCAGGCGTAATTCACGTGTCTTAGTCTTGCACATTTGAGATTCAGGTGTTCATATTTACGTGGCAGGGACTCTGCCAAGATCACCTACTCGCGTGTAGTGACCTACCATCGTGTTCCCGTTTAATCCACCCAAGGTGAGTGATACAACATCATTCTGGCGCCGTCTGTGGGAATGCAACCTAGATCGCGAAGTAGACAAGGTGATCAGGAGAACCCCTACCCTCCGATGACGATCCCATCAAAGTGAAATTTAGATACGTTCCGAGTCCACCTACCCGAGTATGCCCACCAATAAGATGATCTCCAATACCGCAATAACATGGGTCACCCTCACCAAGACTTTACGGATCACCCTCTCCAAGGCTTTGGCAGCGCCCAAAAAAGGATGCACAAAAAAAAATGTCACCCAACAGCCGCGGACGCCACCTCCTTCCCCCCACCTGCCGCTCGACCCTCCATGTCTCTGCGACACTAGTGCCGCTCACAAGCCCAAGTGTGCCCTCGCTAGCGGCGCCGACAAACCCCTCAATCGTGCTGGTAACGCCAATCCCTCCTTAAGGGCTGGACATCCCATCTCAAAGATTGGACATCCTAAGGACTGGGCATCCCATCTCAGAGGATGGACATCCTATCTCAAAGGATGGACATCCCCTCATCTCTCCTCAAGGGCTGGACATCCCATCTCAAAGGCTGGACATCACATCCCAAGGCTGGACATCCCATCTCAAAGGTTGGACATCCCCTCATCTCTCCTCAAGGGCTGGGCATCCCATCTCAAAGAAAGGCTGGACATCCCATCCCAAGGCTGGACATCCCCTCATCTCTTCTCAAGGTCTGGGCATCATATCTCAAAGGTTGGACATTCCATCTCAAAGGCTGGACATCCATCCCAAGGTAGACTTCTCCTCACCTCTCCACTCCAGTCGTGGAAATAGTCAACACATGAGTTTACCGACTACAACACCCAGATGGCCGCCAAGTATCAAGAGCATGGAAAAGCCAATCTCAAGCAATTCTACGCGTGAAGAATCGAAAGGACCCACCATGGACGCATTTTCTCCAGCTAAGTTTAGTTTTTATTTTTTACTTTCTATGTTTCATGCTCTACAAGCAACTACTTCGCCACTTCGGCGCTAATAAAGCACTTTGCTATTTCGACATTAATAAAAGCATTTCGCTATTTCTACACGGATTCTCCACAAACAGAGTCAGGATGCCAAAACCCATGGAGTTAGATTATGCTCGCTAAGCTTACAAGAGTCTGGCCAACTCAGCTTCAGCAAAGTAGAACACTCCATGGGTCAACGACAAATGACTACGGGTGGCTAGCCTCATAAACGAGTTAGATCACAAAAAGACTAAACTCCGAGTGCAGGTCCATCCTTACAAATCAAACCTCGAGAGGCCGACTACGGGTGCCTAGCCTCATAAACGAGTTAGATCACACAAGGACTAAACTCCGAGTGCAGGTCCACCCTTACAAATCAAACCTCGAGAGGCCGACTACGCGTGCCTAGCCTCATAAACGAGTTAGATCACAAAAGGAGTAAACTCCGAGTGTAGGTCCACCCTTATAAATCAAACCTCGAGAGGCCGACTACGGGTGCCTAGCCTCATAAACGAGTTAGATCACAAAAGGACTAAACTTCGAGCGCAGGTCACCCTTATACATCAAACCACGAGGAGACTCGCTCGGTAATACGATCCCGCTGCGAGACAACTCCCACGAGGAGACTCGCTCGGCGCTACAATCCCGGTGCGAGAAAACTCCCACGAGGAGACTCGCTCGGCGCTACAATCCATGTGCGAGACAACTCCCACGAGGAGACTCGCTCGGTTTTCCGACTCCGCAACGAGACAACTCTCACGAGAAGATAACTCGATCGGTGCTACCACCTCGTGGCGAGACAAATCCCACGAGGAGACTACTTGCTCGACGTTCGTGACGAGATCGCCCCTCGCATTAAATTACCAATTTTTGGTGTGACCATGTACATAGCTACCTCGATTCGTGTTGCCGTAGATGCGCAACAACCCTTGCTCCGCCACTCGATCCACCTACTCTTTTCTAGTGCCACCCCACTGGTCGGGCCACCAAGAAGCATGGCGCCGCCATTCATCCTTGTCACATGTATTGACTTACTCTGCATTGGACACCGGGTTATCG